ATCTACAGGTTGGTCTATTATTTCTTCGATCCATCTTCTTATTTTAGTCCAGTATTTTTTTTTTGCATGTTTGTCCACTTTAATGGCTTCATATGTGGACCTCAACTCTCAGAATTTCCCAGCCAACAAGCAAGCTGGATGAGGAATTCTGGGAATTGAAGTCCAGATGTCTTAAAGTCACTAAGGTTGAGAAAAACCGGGCTAGTGGAAAATACGATATTGTCCTTACATTCTAAGATTCCGCCTTAGTACGGTTAAGAAAATAGGAATGCATTTTCCAACAAACACATTTTGGATGTCTTTGCTTTGTGCCACACACAGGTGATAGAGCAGGGCAAAGCAGCCCTAGGTGACCTTCGAACCGGAGATGTCATAATTTCCATCAATGGGGAGAGCACTTCTGAGATGCTTAATGTGGAGGCCCAGAACAAGATAAAGCAGAGCCCTGGGCAGCTGCAATTGCAAGTGGACAGGTGAGTTTATCAAAGTGAAGACAAAGTCATCCACCTAGCTATGTGCTCAGGTACTCTTTCCCACAGGTAACTTTAGGAGCAACTCAACCTCAGAGGTATCATTTGTGCAATATTATGTTATAGTACAGTAGTGGCGAACCTATGGCACGGGTGCCAGAGGCGGCACTCAGAGCCCTCTCTGTGGGCACGCGCACCGTCGCCCCAGTCCTAGGCCTTCAGCTGGGTTTTATAAAACCTTTTCGCTTTAGGCCTCCGCCGCCGTGTACAAAAAAAAAAGGTTCAATCAATCAATCAATTTCAACTTCTTGCGGGAAAAAAAAGATCTTGCAAAGTTGGAATTGATTGATTGAACTTTTTAGTCCCACCCAGTCTGCCGTTACCACCGCAGCCACGCCCACCCAGTGGGCCACACCCACCCGGCACCCCACGATGCATAAGTGGGTTTTGGGTTTGCAGTTTGGGCACTCGGTCTCTGAAAGGTTCGCCATCACTGTTATAGGACGATTCATTAGCCATTTCCAATAGAAAACAGACTTGGCCCACTGATCTCCCTGGCGTTCCCATTGCTGTGGTTGAAATCCAGTGAATGGAAGGCAGGCCTCAGCAGGCTTCAGAACCTCATTGAAGTTTTCTGGGCTTGGAAACTGAGCTATCTGGCTTGATTAGTTCTTGGATGAGAGACAGCGAGGAATCTCAAAAGGTGGAGGCTAGATTGAGAAATTAATTGAGAGAACATCCTGGAGGAAAGCCAGTACCAATAATTTTGGTACAGTTTGCTGAAAAACCTCGATGAACTTGCCCATATCGCCACCAGGAGCAACTCAACTCAACGGTGTCTCTGCTTTTATTTTCACTTAGGAGATAGGACATGGTGGAGAGTCGTCTCTCTAATGGCTGGTCAGGAGGCCTACATGTCCCTTTTGACATGTCCCCTTGATTATGTTCCATCCATTGCTTCTTGTTCTGTCCCCTGGTCAATCCCCTCTTCTCTGCGATAGCCCCTCAAGTACTGAAAGACTGCCATTGTATCCCCCATAGTCCTTCACTTTGATAGGCTAGACCAGGGGTAGGTAACCTTGGCTCTTTTATGACTCGTGGACTTCAACTCCCAGAATTCCTGAGCCAGCCACACTGGGTCAGGAATTCTGGGAGTTGTCCATGAGTCATAAAAGAGCCAAGGTTGACTACCCCTGGGCTAGACATACCTCGCTCCCTGAACCATGTATCATACAATTTAGCCTCCAGCCCCTTTATCTTCTTTGTTGCTCTTCTCTGCACTCTTTCTATGGGTCTCAGCATCTTTTTTGTATCGTTGTTTGTCAGACTGTTGGTTTCTCTTCCACAGAGTTCATAAGCTGCTTTTTTGGCTGTGAGAGCTTGTTGGTGGTTTGGAAAGCAGCGAGCAGCTGAACCACGGTGGGCTAACTGGAAGAGAAGCAATTTTGCAGATTTTTCCATCCAGCTGGTTCCAATGCTGGTGCTCTTGTTTATTTTTGTTGTTGTTGGGGGTTGAGGCCTTGGGAACTGTTGCTTGGAATGGCCCACAGATGGGAAAGGTCCTTACAAAGATCGGGGAAACAACTTCATCTCCTCGTTTAGGATCTTTCACCGGCAAACACTTGTTCACACGTGTTTGTGCCAAAGAAATCCAAATACGTTCGTTGAAATGGTTGTACGCCACTCTATATTGTGTGCTATGCTGTATTTATTTCAGCATTTTTATCCAGAATAATGCTGAGCTCTGCTTAGTGGTTCATATTGGATGATTTTTATTAAGAGAAAAGCAAAAAAAAAGAAAAATAAATCCTCATCAAAACATGATTTGCTTTCGAGTCTCCTTCCTAATTTCAGTTGTCCTTTGTGCATGGTGAGAATATCCGTGCGCTCTCCATGTGTGTGTGAGAAGAGTTGCCTTTTTCTACAAAAGGATGGGATGGCATTCCTAAAGCTTAACTTGTTTCCATGTATGCACACTTGAAATAGTGTTGAGGGTGGGCTCCGAGTTATAAAAAGCAAAGGAGTCCAATTTTTCCCCGCTTACTTAATTTCCCTTCTCCCCCAGTTAACCAGAAACATCTAATTGTTGGCTTGTGCAACTTATTTCTCTTCTTTTAAGGATGTGTGAGAACCACTTTCACCAGGACAGGGTGTATTCTTCTGGGAAGCTGTTGGGCAAGGTCTTCTGTGTTGTGGAGGCACAGGCCAAATCAACACCCAAACCTCTGCTTGCCAACGCTCCGGTTGCTGACACTGAATGTCCTTCTTCAAAGTCTCAGTGACGCCAATCGATATTTGTTTTGGAGAAAAAGGGCTGAAAGAGCCAAGATTTCCCCTTTTTCTAATAGGGCCTTTTTAGGAGAGGTAGGCCAGGAGAACTTCTGATTAACAAAACACGAGATGTACGGTCGGTTGGGAACTGCTGTCTGAGTTTTCCCGGGCCTCTTGCATAAGCTGCAGTAGATCTGTGATCCCATATGAGTCTTAAACAACCATTTGTCTGAAATGGTAGGGCCTCCTGCTTGAGCAAGGGGTTGGACTAGAAGACCGCCGAGGTCCCAAATCTATTATTCTATGTTCTAAATGTGATTGGAAGGCTACCCTTTGGGGGAAGTAGCTCATCGGCCATTGGACAGGAGAAAAGACTGGCAGAACCATGTAAGGTGGAGAAGAAAGCAGGGTTATGGTCTTCGATGAAAGGCAAGACCTGGACTTTTCTGGTTGGAGCAAAACGGACAATGCCCTTAGGAGCAGGTCACAATGCAGGGTGTGGCGTTTACTGGCATGATTCAGAAACTCTCTTTCCACACCCTCAACTGGATGATGGTCAGATGCCTCAGATGACCGAGGTAACATCAGTGAAGGGAAATCCTTAACCCAACTTTCTCTTCTGCTGGAATTATTAGAGCTGAGTTGTACTATTTTGCACCTGCTGTGTGAGCCTCGGCAAGATCTTGTTGCACTCTTTCATTGCATGCTCTGGCTTGCAGGTTTGGTATGCAGCAGTATTTGTGTGTGTGTGTGCTTTGGAGCGTTGTGTGTATGTGGTGGAAAATCCAGATGTGTTATGGCCATCTGTCCACAGCTGCCTAGCCAACCAAGGTCCTGTCACCTTTGTTCGTTGCTGTGCCTTCTTTTCGTGTCATCTTCTGTTGTGTGGTAGATGCAAGATCACCTTGGAAAGCCCTAATGGCATCTTGGCACCCTCCCAAAACTGACAAACTGAACTTGAGCAGTTCAACAAGCAACATTCCTCTCATTCCGGGGCTTTCAGCTCGTCCTCTCCTCTTCCTCTTCTCCCCTCCTTTGAACATGCTGATTGTCTCCTGCTCCCAACCCACACTTGTCCTGGGGCACTTGAAGCTTTGTGAGTTGGCTCAATGTTTTTAGTTGGTTGACTTCTTCAGCTGTTGTGAGGCTGATTTTTCTGGTTCAGAATTCTCCGCACCAGAAATCCTGGTTGGAATTTATTGTGCGCATTTTTTTAGTGCTTTATTCTAGTTAACGTGCATACTCCCTTCTTCGTATTAATCCCTGAGGATTTTCCTACTTCATTGTTAGACAATTTTAGCAAAAATACCTTTGGTTCCCATCAGGTTAGCCTTACCTCAACCTGAGAAACTTCAAGCAGTGGCCCTTCATACATCTGGAGGACACCCAGGTGAAAAAGTTGTATTAACATATTTCTTGTGTCACTCTTGAACTATCTAGTATATGCCATGCCTTGGTTTGGTATAAGATGAGAGTATCACCAGCTTCTTTTAAAAGCAAAATATTTTTTTTTTACATGCTGTGGTATTCTAAAAATTGTACATGTGGATACCTAGCACATCCATTAAGAAAATGTGGAAGAGGTCCAAGACAAAGTTTAAGCTGGAGAACACCAGTCTTGTTCTCTGCCTATTATTCTTGACTGGTTTCCAGGAGTCGTCACATAATAAACCTCAGCTGAGTTGTTTTTTAAAAAACACAGTCTTGGGTTCTGCCTTTAACTAAGAAGTCACCACCAGCCCTTAGAACTGAAGAACCTTGAGAACTGAAGAAGCTTCTTGCATGAGAAGCAAAACATTTTCAAAGAAAAAAAAAACCCAAAGTCCAGTTGCCTTTTGGGACAATCATAACCTGGATGATTGAGAATCCCCGTAGACACCAGGCCTTAGGATTTTTAATGTGTTAATATTCCCAGTTCTGTAATGTTTCCTGTTACTTTTCCTTATTTGATCTTGTTTCCCAATCCTCCTAGAGCAGGGGTCATCAACCTTGGCAACTTTTAAGACTTGTGGACTTCAAATCCCAGAATTCCTCAGCCAGCCAGGAATTCTGGGAGTTGAAGTCCACAAGTCTTAAAGTTGCCAAGGTTGATGACCTCTGTCCTAGAGTACTAGATGATAGATAGATAGATAGATAGATAGATAGATAGATAGATAGATAGATAGATAGATAGATAGATAGATAGATAGATAGATAGATAGATAGATAGATAGATGATATAGACAAAATACATGCAGGAAATATTTAGAGCAGATAGGATAGGTGGATGGATTGATCTCTATCTGTTTGTATATCTACATCTCTCTGTCTCTACCCACCCACCCACCCACCCACCCACCTACCTATCTATCTATCTTATCCACAGACATACCTCAATAATATTAGCTTAGTTATAGCTGGGTCTAAAATCAGTGTATGGAGATTTGGTCTAGGTGACGTTTATTTCCATCTTGGCTATGGGCCATAACAGGATTGTAAAACCAGTAGCAAACAATATAACCTGTCATATGGTGAGGGATAGATTAAGTAAACAACTGCCATTTAGAGTAGTCATGTCTGCATTATGGGTAAAAAAGGAAGTTATGTAATCAAATTCTTGGCCATGGCTAGATCTTTTCTCCTAACAGGATGGACTGCTCATTTTTAAAAATGTACATTGGTATTTCATTAATAACTTCCCCTCTGCTTTTGACATGTTTTGCTCTATTCTTCTTTGGACTCCTGGTATTTATGTCCAGCTTCTTATGGAATGCCACTTTGAAATGCAAGATAAAAATTTAAACTTGCACTTAGCAATAAACTCTTGGGTTGCCTAGATGACTTTGCTTTGGTGGGGTGGGCGGTGCTCATGGAGATGGAGAACTCCTCGCAAATTAAAAATTGCAATATAGAAAACAAGACAAATTCAGGATTTAAGAGTAAGCACTTCCCCCACCATCCAAAACTGACAATAATAAAGACAATAGATTTCTAAGTTATAGCATGATTTTGTTTTCAGTTTGGTAATGGTCAGTCACAGAGTAAAATGCTGCATTTCTGCATATGTCGGTTCCAGGCAGAAGAAGCAATAGGGCTAAAGGTAACCAGGAAGTGAAATGGTGATTTCAAATTCTTTGGTTTCACTTAGTTTTTAATCTTTCAGGGCTGTGAGTTTTGCAACCTGGAAATGCATATGTTGTGCAATATAGAATGAGACCCTTAGATTAAAAATAATGTATTTTCTGATCATGTAAACATTTCTCTTCATGTATAACTAGTGTATATTCGTTTTTATTTTACTGGTTTTCAGAGACGACCTTAGCCTTAATCTAACTTTTTAAAAGCTGTTTTCTCTCTGTTAATTTGCTTCTGCATTGACTAGCAACCATCTGGAAGCCTTACTAGAGCCCACTTTACAAGGAAGTGTAAAGACCCTGAAAACAACCTGGGTCTTCCAAAGTCAATGCAACTATTTGCCTAACGGGCTATCTGGACAAGCGTTTGATACTCAGTAGAACAGAGCAGTCTTCCCTTAGCTGGAATCTGTTCCGGTTACAATTCCCATCATTCCCAGCCAAGAGGGTTGGGATTCCATGAGTTGTAATTGCAGCTCATCTGGATTTGGAAAGGCTGAAATTCACAGTGGGTCAACTCTTGACTTGTGCTGCTCTGACTCTTTGGAAAAAGCTTGCTGCATCTCAAGGTTCAGAGCAGGGGTCTTCAAACTTGGCCCTTTTATGACTTGTGGACTTCATCTCCCAGAATTCCTCAGCCAGGCACAGGATTCTGGGAGGTGAAGTCCACAAGTCATAAAAGGGCCAAGTTTGAAGACCCCTGGTTCAGAGGTTCTTTTCTCTTGTCGTCTTCAAGAAGACCGTTCAGATCTGGCTTTTCTAAAGAAGCTTTTAGAGGTTAACATCTGGCTTTGTGCATTCCACTCAAATTGTTTATGTTCTGCCTTTTAATTTTAATCCAAACTTTATATTTTCACTCTATTTTTTTTTAAGGAAGCTTAAGCATGTTTGAACTGATTGCATGGTGTACATGAACTGATCAGACTATTATAATTTGACGTTATGCCAGTTCTATAAACAAATGACACAACGCTTTTCAAAATGGTAGTGATGTTATCTCTTGCTGCAAAAACAAGGGTATTCTGGCACCTGCAATGTTGGTTTTGAAGCTGCTAGCAGAGACTTCATTTTATCTTCTAGGATTACATGCACCTCATGCCTTCGGAGATATCTTTCCCTGTACGTATAGCTTTTTATAAACAAGCGGAGCTTAGAAAAAACAAACATTCTCTTTTTTTGTATTTCTTTTCCTTGTCAACCTGAGCGTTTCCCCCTTTATTATATCTCCTTTTAAAGTGTAGGTCTTGGATTTGTTTGTTTCATAGATTTGGGTAGTTGGAATTCCAAGTCCAACCAGCCAGTTTAAATCTCCCAGATCGATGGTTGTCTAGCCTCTTGTTCAGATTGCCAGACTAACTTATAATTGAGGCAACATTCCTGCTTTGTCAGTTATTCCATATAAAGTGTTGAGCCCATCCTTGTATAATTATGCTGTTATAAAAGCCTTGCTGTTAGCAAGGGTCTCATCTGGCAACATTTAGCCTAAATCTGCCTTCCACACCGTCCTTCTCACTTGGGGCAGTTGGAGTCCTCACCAAAATTTAATTCCAGGAGAAAACAGGAATGTGAGAGCTTCAGACTTGTGTATTTCTAGCAGTGCCAGATGCCAAAGGGAGAAAGTCTGAATCCTCTAACACCCCGCAAGGAACATTCTCCAGGGCTGATACAAGTACAATGTGAAAGAGGCTAATTGCGTTGCTGGTCCCGATCCCACTCTGTTCCTAATCACTGTAGTATCCTGACTCGCCTCCAAGAATTAGTAGGCTTAGCTTACACACTTTTAAGGTTGCCCATCAACAGTGTCAAACTAAGGACCAAGTGTTTGACTAAGGAGCAAGGCTGGTTGGGGAATTCTGGGAGTCGAAGTCCACGAGCCTTAAAGTTGCCCAGGTCGGATCATGTGGTGTAGAAGCTCTGTTGATGATTGACTTAAAGGTTTGGCTTTTGCTAGTGAGATTCTGTCTTCTTTCTACCACTTTGCATGAAACGGAGAGGTGGTAGCTTGATCTGCAAGGTGTCAGCCCAGCCTGTTCTGTTAGGGCAGGGGTCTTCCAACTTGGCCCTTTTATGACTGGTGGACTTCAACTCCCAGAATTCCTCAGTCGGCCATTTTGATGAAACTGCGGGCTTGGATCCAGACCAGGGGTCTTCCAACTTGGCCCTTTTATGACTGGTGGACTTCAACTCCCAGAATTCCTCAGTCGGCCATTTTGATTAAACTGCGGGCTTGGATCCAGACCAGAGGTCTTCCAACTTGGCCCTTTTATGACTGATGGACTTCAACTCCCAGAATTCCTCAGTCGGCCATTTTGATGAAACTGCGGGCTTGGATCCAGACCAGGGGTCTTCAAACTTGGCCCTTTTATGACTGGTGGACTTCAACTCCATGTGTGTCTGGCTGAGGAATTCTGGGAGTTGAAGTCCACAAGTCATAAAAGGGGCAAGTTTGAAGACCCCTGTGGTAGGAGAAGGGGCAACTCAGCAATTGAAGTCAGAAATGAAGTCCACAAGCCTTGAGGTTGGACATCCCGGCTCTACAGTCTGCCCTCTTCTCCTTCTTACTGCCGTTTGGTTCTTTCTCTCTTCCCCCCCCTCCATAATTTAATTCTCTTTAATGAATTCCAGCTCTCAGCTACATCAAAGTGCATTCTTGTAGAGAGAATATAAAAGGAACCACTCGGTCCCCCTCACCCACTCCCTGCTCCCAATTTTAGTGTCTGGGGCTGGGGGCGGGGAGGTATCTCAAACCTCCCCTTGTTCTGGGGCTGGAGTCAGCATCTCTTCTGATGTAAGGTAATTGGGAGTGGCAGAACCCTCTTTTAATCCATGGTTTAAGAAGCCCGTCTCTGTTGCATCTTGGCGGGAGCAAAAGAGCCGTTATGGAAGCACTAAGAGTGCGCCATCTGTGGTTCATTTAAAGGCCTCGGAGTGAACACTCTGTGGGAGAGGCAAACTGTCTTGGTTAAGAAGGGATTATTTATTTATGGTGGGGTGTTGGTGTGAGATGAAGGAGTACCTAAGGCAGTGGTGGCGAACCTATGGCACGGGTGCCAGAGGCGGCATTCGGAGCCCTCTCTGTGGGCACACGTGCCGTTGCCCCAGCCTTGCCTCCCCCTGTGACCCCCTCCTCTCCAATAGCCCCCCTGAAGGAGAATCGCCCTCGAGCGTGGCCCACACGGACCAGCGCAGCCAAGGACATGGCAGCCAGGCAGCGTAGACAAGACTCTGCCCTCACACCCCATCATGCAGTTGATGCTGCAGAGGGTGGGCAGAGGGTGTGGCCGCCATAGCGCTGCTGGGCTCCCTGGGGTGGGGCATGGGGAGGCAGAGCGGGGGCGGCGCAGGGGGTGGAGCAGGGGCGGGGCCAGTTTTTGGGCACTCGGTCTCTAAAAGGTTCACCATCACTGACCTAAGGGGTCTTCCACGTGGCCGTTTTTCTCCCGTGCAGAAACTGGCTGGATTGAGAAATGGCTGAGCAGATTCCAGGCCATGTTTGGCTTTGGCAATGATGTTGGCCAAGCGCCTTTCTCTTGCTTTAGATCCCTCTTACTTGTGCCAAGGAAGCAAGCACCAATTTCTTTTCCTTCCCCAATAGAGGAGACTATTTGTAGCTCTGCCTTGAACTGCGAGGTCCTTGGTACTCTCTGAGCTTGCTTGTTTTCTTACAGATATTTCATTTCCAAACTAGGTAATGAAAGTTGGGTAGTTGTTGGCTAATGAGAGGTCTTACAAGAAAACGACCGAGCTCAGAGAGATCGAATCTGGGTCAGTCACCGGAACGAGAGATTTAGTCTTCTAAGCTTTTGGATTTGTACTGAAGCCCATCTTCGCTCTACTTTTGTCTACTGCAAATATGTGCGTTGGGCTATTCTGCGAGTAGTATTTATGCGGTGTGTTCCTATTGGTTGATTGGTGTGTTGATGGCTGGCGATTGGCTGTTTTCTCTGTGCTGCCAAGCCCTCAGCTCCTAAATACTTGATAAACTGGTGGTAAATTAGCACTCCTGTTGACTGACAAGGGGCCCAGTGACCTTTAGCTCTGAAAATCTGGTCCCAGTGACCGACCCAGATTCGATCTTGCAACGTTATCCTGAGACACATATATTTGCCTTCATTCTTGAAGCTCAGATGGCACCAAGGACTCCATACTTTCTATCCGCTGGTCTTGGAGGAGACCTTGTTTCCAATGGTAGGTCTGTTGTCTGAGCCTCTATCTTGACAATGTCCTTCTAGGAGCTAGACCTTCTCACCCCTCATAGTCACCACAATGTTATTTTTCTTCTTCTCAATTGAACTAGAAGGGGAAATTGACAGAGCTCGTCAATTTCAATATTTTTGCTGGCGTTTTTTTTAAATAGAAGGTTCCTTATTTCATAAGTGGGTTGGTGAACCTGTCAATCAACTGATTGCTGAAGATATTTTGGTTCTTAACTATCTGCCTTTGTCCTCTTGTCTTGCCTCAGGTCACAGCAGTTTTCTCCCAGCCAGACTAATGGCGAAAGTTCCCCAGAGATGTTGGCCATACGATTTCAGGTAAGGATCCCTTTGCTTCATTTCAGCTGGCTAGGTGGGGCTGAGGAGAATCAATCCAGTTTCATTAAGGGGGCCAAAGATTACACCGCTCCTCACGACAACTTTGTTTTCCCTGTGTGTGTTGGAGGAGCTATATGGGTACCACCAGTACTGCCTGGGTAGTAATCATATCGCTGGTCCTTTGGGTAACATGACTTTTCTTCAAAAGTTAACAATATGTGGGGAGAAGCCAGTCAGGGTAGGGCTCCGTTTATGATTAGGGACGAAGAGTGATCTTAGTCATCCAATTTGGGGATGCTGTAAAAGAGCAGCTAGCATTAATTTGTGCCACTGTGGTTGATGTCGCTTTGATTTTCTGTATCAGCCTATTCTTCTGAAGTTGTTTTTTTTTTAATTACGTTTGCCTTTTCCAACAGGATGTGGTGAGAACTAGAGACAACGGTCAGAATTCAGTGAGATCTTCCTACTCAAGTCCAGCTTCCATCAGTCCACGGCCCACCAGCCCCTACAGTCCTTCATCTCCTGGGTATAGACCCGGCAGCCCATACAGCCCAATGAGACCCAGTCTGTCCACTGAGGTCAGAGGGGAGCCTGTGATAAACAGCCGCAGGTAGATGACACCTTTAGGAACTTAAACTGATCAAAAGTCTATTGAGTCTTCCCGTAGAAATGTCAAACGAAAGACATGGAGAACAAAATCTTTGGCACTCATCCACCGAAAGATAGGATGAAAAATACACTTCCTTAGATCAGGAGGAACGTGCATGTAAATATGTTATCTGATCCCTCACCTCATTACAATGAACACCTTTGGTTGAAGATGCATTCATGAAGAAGTGTAGTTTTGAACAAGCTGGACTAGAAATGAGGAGAACCATGTTCAAATAGAAAGTAGAGCTCACTAAGGGATATTGCACCAGCCATGTCTTCCATATCTAGCATTTTTTACAGAATTGCTTGAATGGAAAGGAAGGATACCCCACCGCCACCTAAAAACTCTCTTTCAATTGTCAGAAGAAAAGGCAGGATATAAATGCAGTAAATAAATATATATTTGTTTAATTGGGGAATCGGTGTTAATGGAGGCCTTCCAGAAATAATAGTATATGAAGTATATACATAATATACTTATTCTATTATGTTTAAAGTATTGCTTAAAGTATTGAAAAATAACAGATTTTTTTTTAAAAAAATTATTAATTGCCATTGAGAATGTCGGGGGTACAGGCATAAAATTATTTAACTTTTCATCCAAAGTTGAGTATGAGATAAAAAAAGAACCATTACAATTTGCATCAGAATACATATTAGTTATAAGTTTCAGTCTTGAACTAATTATTTAACATTAAGATCTCTATTATATTGTTATTTAATGTGTCTACAGATGGTCCTTAACTTACACTACAATTGGGACTGACGTTTCTGTCATACGTTAGTGTGGTCATAAAACAAGCCATCACATGACCCAGCTCAGTTTTATGGCCATTTTTACCATAGTCATTAAGCGAATCCCATGATCTGGGTCTGGCTTCCCCAATTGACTTTGCTTGTTAGAAATTGGCTGGAAACATCCCGAATCGCGATCGGCTAACTCAGTGGTTCTCAACCTGTGGGTCAGGACCCCATTTGGGGTCGATCGACCATTTCACGGGGGTCGCCAAGCAAGGCTGTCCGCCATTTTTTTTGTCCGCCATTTTTTTCCCCTTTTCCGGCGGGTACCTTACCTCCCTTGGGCTGGGCCAGCTGGTGGTCAGCCTGCTCCGTCTCTGCCGCTTGCCAGCTACGCCTCAGCCGGCGCAGGGGGCGGAACCACGCATGTGCGGCGCTCCCAGGCAGGGAAAGTCCTCGACTTACGACCGGTTTAGTCCTCGAATTATGACCGGTTTAGTCCTCGACTTACGACCGGTTGGGGTCGCGGCATTAAAAAGGTTGAGAACCACTGGGCTAACTCAAGATGTTGCCACCGTTGTAAACGTGAGCCAGTTGCCGGTGACCTGAATTGCGATAATGTGCGCATGGGACCAATGTGACAGACGTAACTTTGAGGATGAGCCATAAATCACTCTTTCCTAAGCCATTGTAGCTTTGAACCATTGTTACTCAGAAGGTTGTTAAGTAGAGGACCGTCTGTGTGTCCATGTGTACGCATGTCCCCTTGTTCATTCTTTACCTAAATCGGGAGTGAAAAATCTTTTTAATTTTTAATCAAGGAAAACGTGGTTGAGGATGCCAGGTGTGTGTCAAGCATCTTCTTTTTCTTGTTCTGCTTCTCCTTGTTCACGCTCGCTCTCCCTTTCCCCTTGGCTCAGTAGGCTGCTTGATCAAGCTACAAATGACTCCCCGTGCCAACATTTTGCACAGATAAACCTGCCAAAGCCTTAAGGCTCCTGATCCAGGCATATAAACTTTGTTTAAAAGTAATCTGTTTAACATTTGCCATGAAATAATGCAGTGGACCGGTATCTGCTTTCTGGTGTGCCTGAATAAAACGTGAGCCGGTTTTAATATGAACCAGGCAGGTGCTAATATTTCAGTCTAATCTGTAATGTTTTGCATTGCTTCTCATAACTTGCCTTTTGTTTGGCCAGCTTTTCAAACTTCTTTTCATCATGCAGGCCAGGCTTCTACTGTACTTGTAAACAAAAGCTCTTCTGCCTTTTAAAAATGATGTTACACGCTGCTCACTAGCCACTCGTTTTGGTCTTCAGTCCTGCCTTTTCTAATCTAAGTGTCATTTTGATTCAGATTCTGCTATGGCAGTTCGGCAAGATTTGATTTTCTGACTCTGCTTTTCAGTTGTTAGTTGTCTCCTGGTTTTTAGAAGATAACCGCAATAGATTATTTTAAGCTTGGAGGTTAGTTGTGTTTGGGGTAAGGAGTAAGCTGTCTTAGATGCCTTAACAAGACATTATCCTTGGAGCTGATGGGTTTTGTTGGTCTCCCAACATTGCCTCTTCATGCTCTACACCAGTGTTTCTCAACTTTAGTCATTTTAAGATGTGTGAACATCAACTCCAGAATTCTCCAGCCAACATAGCTGGCTCGGGAACTCTGAAATTGAAGTCCACACATCTTAAAATTGTTGCGATTGAGAAAACTGCCCTAAGCACATACTTCTTCCTCTTTCTTATCCATAATAAACAAACCTGTTTCCATGTTCCTGTTCTCTCTTTTTTTTTTTTTAGCTTCCAGTCAATGGGGACTTCACTTCAGAGTCAGCAGGAGTCGAGCAACAGACAGGTAAAAGCGTGTGAGCTCAAACTAGTTTTGGGATTTCCTGGAATCTTGGGATGGTACTTAACTATAGCTACTCTGAGCACTTTGTTCTGGGAAGGAGCATATTTGTGACGCAGGTGATTTATAGGAAACAGATTGACTGTGGGGGAAGACCAGAAGGAGCATGGAAAGAAATGGTAGAGGGGGGGACCTTGTAAGAAATGCAGTTAAACTCCTGTACTTGGCTGAATTTTCTGCTTCTTTAATAGCTTTAGCAGCAGGGACCCTCATAACAGGAGCCATATCCCCAGGGAAGCATAGTCAGCTAATATTTGTGTAATGTGATCAAAGGTGAAAAAAGTTAACCATGATTCGACCTGCTATCCTCTGTCCCTTTCGTAGAACTTGTATTATCAACTCTTAAGCTGAGGGCTTCCGTGTCATTCATCTCCATTGCTCTCAGCTAGCCAACGGGACTTCTCTAGCCTCTGTTGGCCCTTTAGGCCTATGTCTCAGCTGTTGTGATCTTGTTGCTTTGAACTGGATGCGCTCCTGCACATGTCTCTGCAGCCCACAGCGCACCTGGCTGGCTGAGGACATTTGCTTGTTTCTGCCTGATGTCTCCAAGCAACAAATGGGATCCGGGGAGGCAGAACCAGTTTGGGGAGATGCTGCTTGCATCTTTTACACAAGGGGCAGGGTGAAGTCCTTCCTCCTGAGGCCTATTAAAGTATCTTTTGCAAGCAAATCCACAGTTGCCTCAGCCAAAAAGACCTGTTCAGGTAGTTCATGAGGGAACCCCCTGGTGCGAGTTTGCGGCATCTCATGATGCTTCGAAGTGCAGCACAAAGGTCTAGAGAACTTGAAGTTAAACCGCTAAGCTTTTCAATGATATTAGCAGTCACCTGAGAAGATCTTAGCTCTCAAGAATCGTATCAGGTTATATTTCTTCTCCACCCCCTCCACTCTTTTATTTACAAGTAGTTGTAAGTAGAACATCAACAGTTGTTCTGTCATCTTCTAGACCAGGGGTAGGCAACCTTGGCTCTTTTATGACTGGTGGACTTCAACTCCCAGAATTCCTGAGCCAGCCATGCTGAGGGGAAAGAGAGAGGTTTCCAAGCCGAGCCATGCTGGCTCAGGAATTCTGGGAGTTGAAGTCCACGAGTCATAAAAGAGCCAAGGTTGCCTACCCCTGTTCTAGACCAAGGTCCCTTGCCCTCAGTTTTACAATTTTCAGAGGCTTCTGAAAAATTCAGTGGCCATATTCAATACAATAGCTATACCATAACTCTTAAAATAGCCTTTGCACACTTTCAAATTGGAGGCAACCTACATCACTATCCAAACGTCTTGGGAAATAAATGGAAAACATTGGTTCTGTCCACAGACATGATCTGGCCCCATTCATCTCGTATTGCTCTCTTGCTCACTTCGATTTGTTATGCCGTCAGAAATATTAAGTATTGCCTTTGACTGGCCGAAGGTTGCCCATCCCTGCATCCCGCTGTCTTTGTTTGAAAGCAGTTCTCAATCACTTATTTCTAAAAAAAAAGAAAAGAAAAGAATTATGGTTCTCTTTCTTATTCAGTTAAAAGCAATATTGGTTTGCTTTTATTTGTTAATGAGGATGGGATGGGATTTGAAGGATATTGATGCAGATGTGGGTAGGGTGTCCATGACTGTAATAATAGAATTAAATATGATAGAACGTCTAAGAGAGAATCAAGCTATCTCTATGGAAATTGCTAAGCTCCCCTGTGATAAACAGAACAGAATGACAGAGTTGGAAGATACATTGGAGGTCATCTAGTCCAACCCCCTGCTCCAGCAGGAGACTCTATAATATTCCAGACAAAAGCCTCAGTTATAGAGCGCTGACACCTTTTGAAAGCAAGCTGTTCCACTGGTTAATTGTTCTCATCATTAGGAAGTTTCTCCTTAGTTCCAGGTTATTTCTCTCCTTGATTAGTTTCCATCCATTGTTTCTTGTCTTGCTTTCTGGTGCTTTGGAAAATAGATTGACCCCCCCTCTTCTTTGTGGCAGCCCCTCAAAATATTGGAACACTGCTATCATGTCATCCTAGTTCTATTCACTAAACTGGACACCATGAAGCTTTTAAAAAGTATATCTACTTTTAATTTCTTGGAAACCAGGACCACTTCGATAACTAGACTGTCTAAAGTATTTTCCCATGAGAAAACGTTTAGTCACTCTATCTTACTTTCCCCCCCTACCTTCTTATGTTTGATCAAAATCAGTTCCAGTCTCCACTGGTGGAAAAACAAAAGGGTTAGCACAATTGGAGATTGTGTAATCCTGAAATGAAGTATTCAGATTAAATCCACTGAAACAAATCTGCTTCACTTGTACCATTTCAGTGGCTGCATTTTGGTGTGGGAAGCAGATTTTAACTGCATTGGTTTATTCAAATCAATAGTTCAGCTAAATCCATAAATGAATTGCTCACATCCTGAAGGCTTTAGGCAGATGTCAGAAGCCAAAGACAGTGCCCTGCCCTGTGAAACTATAATCTTAACAAAAATATTCAACTCAACATTTTTCTCCACCCTTAGTCAATGTAATCCTGAGCCCTGAAGGACACATCAAACTGGTTGGACTTAATGCTTTTGTGTGTTGTTCAATCTGGATTCTCAGGAATGTTCATTCTGCAATTCTGCTCCTTTTTTTCTTGCCAGAATGCGTCCAGAAATGGAAACATGAAGATTGTTTAGGGGACAATATTTAATAATAATAATAATAATAATAATAATAATAATAATAATAATAATAATAATAATAATAATAATAATAATAATAATAATAATAGTAAAGTTGGAAGGGACCTTGAAGGTCATCTAGTCCAACCCCCTGCTCAGGCAGGAAACCCTACACCATTTCGGACAAATGGCTGTCCAGTCTCTTCTTAAAAACTTCCAGTGTTG